TGCATTGCTGGTTTCAACATCACAAGTTATTCAGGAAAATATTAAATACCATTTGTTCGAAATCCATTTAATACTCATATGATTGTATAAATCATACTGTATAAAACTGCATACTGAAGGAGATGCTCTGAAAAGAGAGAAAAATTAGAAAGAGAAAATGAGAGTAAAGAGAGAGAGAGAGAGAATAGGAGAAGGAGAGAGATCGAGGATGGGGACAGGGAAAACCAGGGAAAGAGCAGAGAAAGGATGAGGCAAAGAAACAGACGGTGCCAGAGAGGCGACAGAAGTGTAGGAGAAAAGTGACTGAGGGAGACAGGGAGAGCGACAGAGAGGAACAGAGTGAAGACCACAGAGAAATTATCCACAATGTTATCAAGTGGATGTTGAATTTCATTTGAAATATGTATCTTATGCAGCATTGTTGCACGTTTCTGCATCGTCGGCTTTAATTTGCTTGGAATTCTGATCAATTACCTTTAAAGAAGGAAGAAGATATAATGCAATTTATTTTTTCTAATATTGGATTTTTATTTTCGAGAAAATGTTTCTATGTTACCTTTTTAATAAAACATACTTGTAATACTCCAATAAAATTCCATGAGATGAAGAAAGCGAGCCAATAGACACACCAATAAAAGCGAAAATAAAGTAATATTGGTAACCGACTACGTAGCAAATAAAATGCCTTAGAGATTGCGTATCGGAAAAAAATCAAAATTAATGTTCACTATTTACACGAAATTTTCCAATTAAGAATTCGTACCACATTAAAGGAAAACATCATTTAATGATTTGTTTGCAAGACGCTTCATCCATAATCTGAATCACATTCATAAGTCATCAAAAGTACAAGTCAATATGAACTTAAACGCGCGCTTCCGCGAACAAATGGCAACGTTTCAATGCTACCTTATCCCTATGAACTGTTAATTGATCAGTAGGCTAGATCAAAACACTACTTGTTCAGTGGAGATTATTCTTTACTTCTGTGCATTACCATTGGGATAGTAATGTTTTAAAGTCTGAAAAAATTACGCTGAGCAGCTAGAAATAAATGTTAAAAAACATAAAACAGTTTTATTCAACATTTGATTTACCAATGCGCTGCGTGTATTATTTTCAGTAATTCTTACCCACAAATAGGGTGGAATACGCTTTTCTATTGTTAAAGTTCAAACCAAAATGAGAGATGAGACGATGATCATCTTATACGACGCCATGCGTAGTGTGCGATGAGCTTGAGGGGAAGAATGATAAAATGTCCCCCGGAGATGCTGTAAAACTGAGATGTTAAGAAGCTGAACCAGACATGTTTGTGTGACCTGTCGTACACATTTAGAATTACATTTCAATGACTTCAATTGACAGTAACGTATTTTTGATTTTATGTGGAATAATTCCTGTGGCAAAATACACAAGTTATTATTCCATTAAATTGTCTTTCAAGAATTGCGGCAAGAAGAAGAATATCAGTTAGTGTAAACTCCCATATATTATAAGACAACAAATGCATTAGTCTCTTTGAATTTAAACTGAATGATATGAAAAGAACGCTCTATAGCTTCTACCAAGAGTCAAATATGAATCTTCAAACAGGTGAAAAATGAATCTCGATTTCACAGTCACCTTAGCATGCCTGTAAAAAGAATATCGATTCATCCAAATATATCTGCCAGCTGCTGAGGTGAATATCTCGGCAAAAATAAGACACGTCAGGGTTACCCTCCATGCGTTATAATGAAAAAAAAATCGAAAATTCGTGGAGGAGGTGACCCATCTGTTCGATCTCTGGTCAATGCAAATGCGACATTTACATTGACAGAAAATATTATTAGTTGTTCGATAGACTCGTGAATGCCGATACTTTTTCAAACATTCAAATCCATCGCGTGATGGATCATTTTCAACCATTTGCCTCAACGTGTTTCTGAGGAGGTTATCTTGAGATTAAATGCAATTTACGTGTTCATCTGGACCCCATTCTTCGCCATCCGACCGCAGCTGTCGGCGCCGTTGCACCGCCGCCGAAGAATGCGACACGCGCCGTCGAAGCGCGCGGCGGAAGAAGGGGAAGTAACGCGCGCGTCCCGCTTGCGAAAGCAACATTCCCGGGCGCGGGCGGGTCGGGGCGGCGGCATCTCAGTGCCGTCGCCGCGGCGGCCGCGGCACGCGCCCGCCGGCGCAAGGACGGCCTGGCGTCCGGTCGCACGGGCGCGGCCCGCGGCGCGCCGGCTCGGGCGGCCCGGCGCGCAGGGGCGGTTTCGAGCGCGGCCCGGGGTGCTGCTAGTGCCGCCAGCCCCGCCGCCGCGGACTCCCGCACCAGCGAGGCGCCAGCGCCAGGGCAGCGAGCAACGAGCGCCCACGGAGACCGAGGCGGGACGGAGCGGAGGCGGAACGTCCGGGCGCCGGACGGGACGGACGACGGACGGCGGCAAGCGGGCGCGGGCGGGGCTTGGCGTCGGGCCTGGCCGGGCCGGGGCCGGACCGGCCCGGGAGCGCCAACAGTAGCAGCCAGCGGCCCGCACGCGGCGATGCACGCCCAGTGACCGCCGCCGCTGGTGCCGGTGCTGGGCAGGCTCGCCGCCGCCGTCTCCTCCCCTCCTCCTCCGGCCGCCGCGGTGCGGTGCCACCGCATTCTTCGGGGACTCTCCCAGCTCCAGGAGGGGGCATGTCGTCCATCATCACTGGCGACCTGGCGTCCGAACCAGAACAACAACGACAAACAAACAGATAACAAACAACGATGACGAAACAACTTCCCGGTGCCCACCATCTACCGGTAAGCGCATCACCGTGGCCCGACGGCGAGTCCGGGCGTGCAGGCCTGACGGGACGGGGCGCGGCGGCTGCGCCGCCCGGGAACCTTCCCGCGCCGCGCCCTCCGTCCGCCTCCGCCGCCCAGCCTCGCTGGACGCCCCTCGCGTGCAGCCCGCCGTAAGAATCGAAGCCGGCCAGGCCTGGGTCGCCCGCGCCCCCACACCGCACGCCGTGGGGCTCTTCGGCCGCCCTGCCCCCTGGCGCGTGGACGACTCACGCTCCCCAGCCGGGCGTCTTTTACAACCCTCGTACCTCCTCGCGTATCTCAAGGTCGCGACAAATGCTGCAATATGTCCAGATGTTTCTGTGACGACCGAAAGCTCAATCGATTTTGTACTGCCCAGGGTGTCCAGAAGTATACCGTTGCAAAAACTCACACGTTTCAAAATTAGAGTCTGAATGCGCAATTTATAGTTCATCATCCAATTGTGTGTACCATATTTACGCAACCAGTAGACGAAAAAACATCGTATGCCTTTTTTTGTGTGGAAAGTATGTCAGGTGTCTGCAGAGTGCTGTTGCGTGCCTCTCTCTTTGATATTATATTTGGCTCTAAAATTGGTTCCGCGGGCGCCGCACGCAACCCTCTGCTGCCCCAGGCCGGCGGCAGGGGGACGGGGACCAGCAACGGCGTCGCAGACGTGAGGCGGCGGGGGGGGGCGGTCGGTGCGCGGGGACGCGGAACGGGCCAGAGGGGGGGCCGCGCCCCGCCGCGCCACGCGAACCGGCAAGTTGGGCGCCGCAGTCACGCCATGGGGCTTCGCCCAGCCAACCCGTTTCGCGCGCAAGCGTCAAAGCCGCCCCCTCCCACCCCCACCCCCCACCCCGCACGCCGGTGGGCGCGGCGGCGCCAGAGCGTCCACAGCTGTCTCTGCCCGGCGACCAAATGCACTCCCGGCACACGCGCCCCCGCCCCTTCCCGCTCGCCGACTCGCACCACTCGCTCGCTTACGCACGCCGCCATCGCGCACGCCTTCCTGCCCTATCGCGGCCAAACCTACGCCTTCTCCCTACGACCATACTGTCAATTGCAAGGCATGCCCATACACTTAGCAGAACCCCAAGTAAAGATGTAAAGGTTTAGGAGAGAATGTGCGCTGAAGAGCCGTGTGTCAGTTGTTTGCGCTTACGAAAGAGAATGTTGAGTTTCTCGATGGCAATATTTCAGTAGAACGATGGACTTATCTTGCCCATGGGACAAAGCTACCCGGTAATCTGTTTGGTTGTTGGGCTCGCTCGAATATCGAACACAGCTGCAGCTCTGAGTGGTTCATATAAAAAACGAATTCACTAATTGTGAATGCAAATCAAGCTCCTCTCTTCTCCCAAAAATATTCTAAATTTATAATCTAGTGGTACGTACATATCACTTCCTAAGAAATTGTAGGCATGCAAATTATCTTTTAATTTCTTCACTGAATGTTATCCACAGTGACATGTTGTCTGTCTTTAATACTGTATAAATTCGGGATATGCGTGTCACATAACGCGACACGTTAAGATTGTCAGATCCCCGTTTCACATGTATCTACTTTCATGCTACAGGATCAGAGCAATAATAATAACTAGCTGAACACCTGCGATTGCATCGTACAAGAGGCAGTAGATACAAAAGTACTACGTATTCAACGTCCCCAAAATATTGTTTCATGTCCAATCCTTAATATCCAACAGTGAAATGAGGGCGTTTTACAAATTCTCGAATACAATCAGAGTATTAAATAAATTTTTGGAAATTTAACTGATTTTTTTTCATTTTACTAATATATTTTTAACTCTCCTTAATTTTCTTTTCACAAATTTTAAAAACTTACACTATAAATATTTACAATAGTCAACTGTTTGCCAGAACTATTTGTGATATTATTTGTTAATTAGCAATCTTAAAAATAGGTAACTAATTCACCTTATCAAACCGCTGGCAACTTGACTAAAAACTAATATAATTATTTTAAATATCGTGAAAAATAGTATTAGAATTGAAGAGGCAGAAAATTATTTATTTTATAAAACTTCTGTATTACACGTGTATGTTGCATTGGCCGATACAAGAAAATCCTGCTGCTTAACTGCAAAACTAAATGCATGAGGTATAATTAGTATCACTAGGCATTTTGGTGTAGCGACACCAGCATCAGACAATTGCTGCACATTGAACATAGAAACGACCAAGTTCAACAATATTCACATGGTGTTGGAAACAACGTAGTGCACAATTGGCGTCCGCAATGTGACAAATTGCGACAGCCAAAAGCGATCATTCTATTTATTTTAAGATATTATTAAAATTTAGTGTTTATGATGTAAAACCAGTCACACGGTTACTAATAACACGTACCACCACCTTTCATTTATAGCAAAAATTACATTCATTTTGTTGTGTGAAAGATGTGTTTGTTGGTTTAAACTATTATGATTATTATTATATATTTTATTAATTATTTATTATTATATATATATTATATATTATATATTATTATTGTAATTAGTAAACTTACGTTAAAGGAGGATTCTTTTTGTCATTTGAAGAAGCTAACGACATGTTCATTATTGTAAACCCAAAAATTAAAATGTTAATATTAATTATGTTCTCTATAATGTGTTCACATGATTAGATATGTATAATTACGTACAATGTATGCCAGAAACATTGAAACCCTTCTAAAAAAAATTCCTTAATATAATACTTGGCAACTATCAAGAACGCGACCCAACTGTATGAGGTAGGCAAATAACTACAATCCCGTCGCCAAAGACGAGCCGACAGAAAATCCTACGTGGCCTTTGGCGGCGTTGCGCTGGGGCCTCGGCCCGCGCGGGAGAGCGGCGCCGCGCGCGGGGCAGGTCACGTCCGTGCGTGGCAGCGCCCCCCCCCCCCCCGCAGCCCGCGTTTCGCAATCGTATGAGCGCGTAGGTGCGCCGCAGAAAACGAGCACGTGTTTCCATGACTTTTCGCAACTGCGGCTATCATGCTCAATTCCCCATTTGTTCCATTGAGTTTTCACTGTTTCCGACATCACTCATCAACTTTTTTTCCCCTCTTAATGTAGTTTTATAGTCACAAAATAGTTATCATTAAATGTCATAAATCACTTCTATTAAATACACATTTACGTTTATTTAGTAACGTTTTTCTGCTACGACAGTCAATTAAACAAATGATGCTACAAAAGCACTTATTTTCTCGCATTATTTGTAACGTTGGTGACTTTCAAAAATTCAGAAAGTTCAATGTAAATCAATCATGCATCATTTTTAAATCTTACTTTCCACTATGTGATACAAAATAAAAACATTTGAGCGTAAGCTAGAAATATATTATTTTAAAATTGTTTTCTTTGCTCGCAAAATTACGCAAAAAAGACTAATATACTGAAAAAAATTGTTCATGACCTCATTTAAAGACCTAAATATAAATAACAGATTTTATTCAAAAATTTTTTTTTCAATATTGTAGTTATAGGAGGGCTCGAAATTTTTTTAAACATTTGCAAGTTTCAAAAATTCAAAAATTACAATGAAAATCGGTCTAGCACCATTTTTATAAACGTACTTTACACTATCCGATAAAAAAGGAATGCATAAAGTTTAACAAAAAATTAAAGCACTTTTTTAGAAAACATTGAATATATCCTTGAGGCTTCAAGTAAAGTACCTTCAAAAATTAAAATATGCATTTTAAATTGAAGGAGCTGCGACATCGGCCAGATCGATTATTATTTATCATTTTTTATGAAATTATTACGGATTAGCCGCTAGCGTTGTTATTTTTATTCCTCCCGTCCAGAAGCAATGGGAATTTTTTTCATATATTTATTGTTTAATCAATCTTCGTTTTACATTGTCCGAATGCAATAGGTAATTTTCCAAACGGCTACAAAAATACTCTACACGAAATATGTTTGTCATAAAATAAAAATAATTATATATGTAATTATTCTGATTGCCAGCTGCGTTTCGTTACGTTAGCTGGAGACACCAATGTGCAATATTCATAATTTGATAGCGTGACAAACTACAATTGAGATTGTAAATTTCGTATCGCATGAGAAACAATCTCATTACTTAGAGCGTTTTTAGCATTATGTACCTAAAAACTATACATTAATATTTTCCAGAGAGTACTCATCAAAAAGAGTCTTAATCTCATTAAAATCATTGTATCGACCGGCCTGCCTCTCCTGTCCACCGGATCAGACAAGATGTATTACGACGAGGCCTGCATTCCTGTGACCCGCGCGACTCTGGTAGCCCCCGAATTGCTTTACTGCAGAAGCACGCAGGAGACTAGGAGGAAGTTAACAACGCTGTACCGCCCGCGAGGAGGAGGCAGGAAAGGCGGAGCGCAACAAAATCACTGCGATGATCTGGCGGCCACAGCGCGAGGGGGCGGGGCGAGGGGCTGACGGCGGTCGTCTGGGCCGAGAACGAGGGGTTAATGGATTCTGCCCATTAGGGACGGCGCGGCCCATCCGTCTCGCCGCGCGCGCCCGCTGCCTGCCCGGATTCCGCCAAGGTCCCCCCCCCCCCCCGCCGTGCGGCGCCGGCCACAGCCTAACGAGGGCAAACCGCGCCCCGCCCTCATCCTCCTCCTCTCGCACTCTCAACCCGTCCTCTTCTCATCCACCACCTGCTGTCCGACCCACCCCGTCCCGTCCACGCCCCGGCCTTTTCCTGTGTCTTTATCACCCCCTCCCGCCTCGACCGTCCCAGCCCGTTCCTACTCCGCTCCTATTCTCTGTTCATCCACGTACCCTCGGTCACCCATCGTTTCCCATCCATGGCCTCCGTCCTTTTTTGTTCTTTCCGGTCCCGCTCCCCTCGATCCGACTCCCCAGCCGTTCCTACTCCCGCTCCTATCTCTCTTTTCACTCCCGTACCTCGTCACCCTCGTGTCCGATTCCACGCCCCCGCCTTTCTTCTGTTCTTATCACCGCCCCTCCCCTTCCTCCCTTTCTCCCCAGCCCTGTTTCCTACTCCGCTCGCTACCTCCTTTTCATCCACGTACCCTCCGATCACCCTCGTTCGCATCCATGCCTCCGTCCTTTTCGTCTGTTCTTATCACCCCTCCCCTCCTCCACTTCTCCCCAGCGTGTCACCCGGGCTGGGCTTCTCTTGCGGGGAATCACGTCGCCTCGTCCCTCGTTCCATCAACGCCCCCGGCCTTTTCCTTGTTCTTCAATCACGCCCTCCTCCTTCCACTTCCCGCAGCCCGTTCTACTCCGCTCCTCGTCTTTCTTTATCCACGTACTCGGATCACCTCGCGTTCCCATCCATGTTCGTCCTTTTCTTTGTTCTTATCACGCCCCTCCCACCTCGACCGTCTCCCCAGCCCCGTTCCTACTCCCGCTCCCTATCTCTCTTTCATCCAGTAACCTCGATCACCTCCGTTCCATCCATGCTCCGTCTTTTCTTTGTTCTTATCCACCGCCCTCCCCTCTCCACTTCTCCCAGCCGTTCCTATCCCGCTCCTATCTATTCTTTCACCACGTACCCTCGGTCACGCCTCGTTCCCCATCCATGCCTTCGTCCTTGTTCTTGTTTTTACTCCCGCCCCTGTCTCTGTGCCGACCCCGCCTCCTTTTCTGTCCCCCGTTTCATATCCCTCGCCCCCTCACTGTGTCAGACCCCGTTCCCGACCCCATCCACTCTGCTCCGCCTCATTGTGAGTGAGTGAGCGAGTGGGCGGGCCCGTGAGGCATCCGCCGCCAAGACGTGCCAGGTGAACTTCCTTAGAAGCGAAGTTAGGGAGACAACCTACTCTGAATATCTACTGCATTCGAACAATTCTGGCTATTTTATATTATTTAATTGAAGCGTTGGATCGAATGTTATGATTTATGAATTTTACAACACAAGTATAAAAGATACAAGTTATTCCCTTTCTTGGATTTTACTAATAGACCATTGTTCCAGGAGTATATTTTGTTAGTTACAATCGCAGGGGCGGAATACGCAACGAAGATGCGCTTAATACTTGAGGGTGCGGCGGGTTGCGTAGAGCTTCTCTTCAGGGGCGCTTGAGTCAGCATTAACACAAAATTATCACCGCGCGTCAATGTGCGACGCACATACACACATTCCCATTGTACTATGCCTATATTCTTCGCGCAAATGTAAGCAATATGTTGACAAGGCTTTATCGCAATCGAATGAACTATATGACAATGCATAGAATACGAACAAACATTAATTTCTATATGTGAATGGGTGAGATAATTGTTGTATTTATTTTAGGCTATATTTCAGTAGCAATGTATTATCATTGTTTTAATGAACAATTGAATTGCCGCGCTTATAATGATGAAATATAGCACCACGACTTTATATTGACTTAAACAGATATCTCACAACTAATAAAATATCACTTATACGTTCTGGTTTTCACCCATTCATATTAGATTATATTATGTTGTCTATCACCTACTTTATAGTACAACCAAGACAACCCGACAGCTCCGAATTTTAGACTTGAATCCTGTGCCTAATGATGGATGTTTTCTGAAATGACAAGACCTCTTGCCATTCGCAACTCCACTCAACGGATCACGGCCTATTCACAATTATACCAACCTTCAAAGCTAGTCTTATGAATGATCAGTTAAAAAGGGAACTGGCAGTACTCTGCTACACAGTTTTAATTTACCGTCTGATCCAATGACAAGAATGTGTAAGAAATTTCAACATTAATTACATACACATGTGTTCACTAATAGTAACATTCTACCAGAAAAAAACAGACATAGAATGAGACGTGTCACAGGAAGGGTCAAAAATTAATTTTTGCCGTTTTCAACAAAGAGAATATCTCAAAAGCTCTATTATCTTTATTTATTACGGAAGATTCAAACAGGCAATTAGTTTTCAAATTGATCATTAAATCATTTGCGTGTATCTTATTTTCTTTATTACTTTCACAAGTTCAACAAAATGTTCTTGAAAATAATCTCGGACGATGGTTATCCTTAACATTTATCAGATAAAATAAAAAGAATCTCACAATGTCTTGCCGAAATATATAATACATGTACTAATAGTTTTGTTTATAACAAATAATTTAAAGTAACTTACCTACTGCATCTGACATTTTAACCCCTTTCGAGTGTCTGATCTTGACAGGGAAAATATGGTACTTGCTTTGGTTCATCAATGACCTTCTTAACATCGCCGATGTTAAGTTCACAAGTTGAATGGGCTTGTTGTCGATGTCTCACGTGTCTCACCTATCAATAAATGCTGAAAGAAAAGAAGAATATGTATTGTTACAGGTTTTTCCTGGACCATACAAAAATAACTCCAAGCGAAGACATTTCCATCTCTCTAATTAATATTTTTTGGATGACATCAGAATCCGAGTATTATTACTTTCAGTAAAAGTATACAACAATGGGCTTTATTATAATTGATAAAACAACATCCACTCAAGTTTTCTATTGAAACCAAAGTAAAACCAATTTAATAAGTGTATACCTTCAAACAACTTATTCTTAATTTTGATATTCAAACCAATATGGATAATACACTTCAATATAAGATTTAATTTTTTTAGAAAATATTGTCAAAAACCATGTTTTGTAATACAATCACGACAAATCGTCTTGTCAATCGGCATGAATGACTTCGTGGTCCAGTTACAAGAAGAGACAGATTTGGAGAAACCATTCCTCATGTTATAGCATGTGTGCTTCTTTACACGTGAGCATGGAAGGATCATTAATCGCACGGTCAGGAGATGACGTAAGAGGTTTTCCAATTAAGGCTGCGTATAGAAATTGATGGATCGATTTCAAGTTCCGTGGCAGGGTCAACTAATTCACCAATTCTCCACTTAATGCTTGTGATGTTTTGTTACTTAAATTATTAATTAAATGTATCAATGGCATCTCATTTTGTGAGAGTCCAACTAGCTAACTTTATGATTCAGTATTAGTTGAAATCAAATACATGGCATCACTCCCCAATAGCTGTGCTTGTGGAATAAACTCAAATGATCTGTAACAATTTATCAATTTATTTCATATAAATAAAATACCCTACATTTTGAGCAAAAACTGCATAAGGTTTATGGTATGATCCTTTATCTTATGGGATGTATCCATAGTGTTGTTCTTTTATTGTACCTGAAAACTATCAATCTGATGATCTACCTGCTTTTAATTACATTTCGGTTGCATCTTGTCAGCCATCAAATATGATGCCCTTGATTTCATCCTCACAAAGAGAGTCAAATTGTGACCAAGGGCTTTCATATTTCCTTCGAAGGGCTCACATTTCTACCTTTCCAAAGGTCATACATTATGGCGCACCACAAGTGTTGTTTTTTAAGACTAATCAAACTGATATCTGAAAAAGCAGCTGAAATTAGAAAAAAGTATTTACGACTATTTATTTTCTCAGACAGTTTATTATTCCAAGCCAGTTGCCACTAATGTCCATTACAGTATCCAAACATATTTACTTTCCTTCTTCTAAAATTTTCTGAATGAGCTGTTCATTTTTGAACGTTCAACATTTAGTAAATAGGCAAAAAATATTTTTTTCTATTAACAATTTTCAGAGAAAAACGAAATCTTGTTAACTCGCCAAATATATTTATCAAAATAGTGTTTCATGACCCAATCTTTTATAACTTTTTATAATATCATTTTACGATTTCATAATTCGATTATAGCGAAATGCCCTATTAGAGAATTTTGTATCCAAACCAAGATAGAATATCCTTCAAATCATATTTTTTGTAGCGAGTTACCTAAAATATTGATAGCAAGTAGTTTGAGTGCTTGTGCAGCCGTTCTTGAATTTTTTCTGTTTTTGAATTTCCTCATTGAATCTCTTGCTTTGATATCATTATTGATTCCATCTGAAACGTACTAAAGAATATTCACTATTTTATTACGACTTTTTATTCAGATTTTTCTAATATTTCCACAATTGCATTGCTTGTACATATCCATATTTAATTTAATTTCGTATCTCGATATGGACTTCAATGCCATTTTATAAATAAGAAATGAATTATTCACTGCCTGACAAAAAAATAAAGCACGCAGGAGTCGTTGGAAGTGAATGAAACTATATATGCTGAAAGACCGTGTGACTTTACTGAACTGATTAGAACATGGGATGAAAGAGACACGGCCTTTGGCAGTTGTAGGTTGATAGTAGGCGCCAGGTCAGTAGAGTATCGCATCTCCTCTGGCTGCAATGCATGCCCTTAAGCGGTTCGGAATGGTGTTAAACAGTCTTTGTATCTCCTCTCTTGGTGCAAATTCGTCCACAATTATTGCAGCCGCTTCTCCAGATTCTGCTGGCTGGTACTGCGGGAGGGGCCCCTTCCAATGTCATCCCACCTGTGCTCAGTGATGGAGAGGTCCGGGGATCTTGCTGGCCACGGGAGGACCTCAACATGCTCTAGGCAGTCCATAGACACACTTGCTGAATGTGGGCGTGCATCATCTTGTTGAAACACTTTCCCAGGATGCTGTGCGATAAGAGGTAGGCCGTGAGGACGCAGAATTTCTGTGACGTATTGCTGTATCGTCAAATTCTGTCGATGCATTATTAGAAGTTATTTGAGCGCATATCCGATGGCTCCCCGTACAAAGGTGATGCCCAGGTTTACGCCCATGTATCTCTCCACGATATGGGCAGAATGTGTCCTCTCTCCTTCATGTCGCCACACTAACACTTAGGTCATGGTGGTTATGGCAATTTGGGAATCATCATTGGATCTCTCATTATTTGTAATAAGTATTCAAAATTATGCGAAAACTACGTAAGTTTTCAAACAATTATTCATGATATAATTTAAAGGTCTTTGAGTAATTTTGAAGAACAGATATCATTAAGAAAAAAACACTATTTTTAACATTGTACGATAAACTTGTAAGCGCACTTTTCTACATTCCAGTTCAAAAATAAAGAAACCCATAAGGGTAATTGTTGAGGAAATTTTGAAAATCTTTAATTTCGTTTTGTGCTTCGTGTAAAGTAGGCCACAAAATGAAAATATCTATTTTAAATTTGAAGGACCGCAACATCAGTCATATCTACTCTAGAATATCAATTTTGACAAAACTCGTGAGTACGGTTTCCGCGCTAGTGTCGATCACAGACCAACGTTTTTTTTTTAAAAAAAACTACTTTTCCTTTATAAGGATCCCCAAAACATGTATTCCTCAAAATTTAGATAGGTTTTTTTTGCAGAATCGGATTACTTACTCTATTGCAAGTAATTGAGAATGTACGAGTAGAGCTCCTTCAAGTTTTATTGATGACATCAAATGCTGTTGGTGTGTTCTACAGTAATATGAGTTTTCTAGTTCTAAACGTAAATGCTAGGATAATTCCGGTTTCTTCTACAATTGGAGCTATTCGCGAAAAAAATTATCTTGCAAATTATTTTGAGAGAATTGTCAATAAACTGATTCTCCTATCATAACTTGTATCTTGAACAGACTTACGGGTGTGTTGATCGCAAATTGGAGTACTTTCCTTGGCGAAGGAAAATGGCCGTTCTTAAAACTGCATTGTTTATTTAAGCAATAAATGTAATAATATTTTAGGTAAGTTTCAGAAACATATCACATGTTAGTAAATCATACTCCGATGCTTTTTTCAAGTCCACTCTTACATTAACTTCATGAAATTTGTAACTCCAGAAGGTTATTTAATCGGTGGGAGCAGGACCCGAACACACGGGCTACGGACCGATAGCGATTTTTCTTTTCTTTTTGTTGCCACATCGAACATGGTATTGTGATACACATTTAATGATTCTTAGATCCATGATCGCTTCAGCCAGTGACTCCTAAAACGCAAATGTTAAGGGTAAATAGTAAGAATAATGAAGTGTGCTGATATTGATGGAGAAGATCAGGAAATTGTCATTTTCTTGTCACGTGCTTAATGTCTTTCCACGTGGCACAATTTTCATAGAATCAAAATAATTTAAAATGATACAAATTTTAGAATATCGTGGTGAGTGCAACAATCAAAATACCCCAACAATAAAATTTCTAATGAAAATCCATTCCATTTGCAGAATTTAACAAAGACAATTTAAGGAAACCGTGTAATTAGAATAGATAATATCCGGCACTCATGTTTACAACCGCAACGCCATTCAACGACATGAACCGAGTGAGTTTTACGTTAGACGTAAAGTTAGACGTAAAAAAGATTTGAATGTCTTATGCTGGCGGAATGATCACGAAGGTCATCCATCTGTAATAAGTAGAATAACCACAGTCATTATTTCAACACTGTTAGTACTAATTGTCTTGAAAACCAACTAATATAACAGGATTAAATATAAAATTTGAAAAATACTCCTTCTAGGTCGTAGACTGGTGACTTATTTAATGTGGTGAAATAAAATAATAATAAATTCACAGATTTGCGAATGAAAATATCGCATTTATGTAACCCACATCATCCAAAAGCTAAACGTGACCTTCGGGAAAAATCTTCGTAAGCGGTTTGTTAAATATACCCCAACGAGCAAGAAATTGGAGGATCTACAGGGTGTTATCTCTACTTTCCATGTACTATTTTATCGTTCTCCAAGAAAATTTATTTGATGTACACCGTATCCTAATAGCTGGAAAGTCACAGAACGAGAAGGAAGACTATCCAACACACCAAAGCTTGATCAGATATTGAAAATAAAAGGAAACATTTTAAAGTTTTCTATAAATATTATTAATGATTTTTGCAATATAAGAGCTGTATTGCTCCCCGAAAAGTTACTGTGACACAACGTTTTGTGCATCTATCCCGTAATGGCATCATATTCAGTGCAATTAGTGGTGCGAAAACATCACGTACTCTCTCCTGACAACTTTTGCAATTTTCGAAAAAATCAGGCTTTTCAACCAACAAGAGACCCGCACCATTCTCTTAAACGTCCTTCACACTACTCAACAAAATTTAATCAAAATTTAATTTAAAATTTAATTTTAACAAAAATTTTATCAAAAATAAAGGAGCCCTATTTTGAAAATATGGAAATCATGAAAAGTACCCTTCAAAATTAAAATATCGAATTAAAATTCAAGGGACCGCGAAATCAACCGGATCGATTGGGGAATATCCACTTTGAAGAAAATCGACTGAACTGTGTAGCCGCTAGCGTTCTTCACAGATGGACAGACGGTTTTTTCGGTAACAAGTACCCACAAAACACGGAATCTAAGTTGTTGTTTTTTTTTCTAAATTTAGCTGGATTTATCCAC